GCCATTGCGACCAAGTGCCAAACTCTGGTACAGAAATACTCGCCTCGCCTTAACAGTATGAAACTCTCTTCGGATGAATCCAAGGAGCTATCACGTTGCAGTTTATCTGCGCTTCCTGTAAAGTATTCTAAGAAGTCTATTTCTCATCACAATATTTATTGCAATGACATTTCGTACTTTGAGTATTAATGTATTTATTTTGTATTATATTAATTATACTCTATCTTTACAGAATGAAATACTACAAAAAATATTTAAATACTTAGATCTAATAACATTATGTCGCATGAATGAAGTAAATTATATGCGCTTTGATAATTTAACACGGGATCCTCTACTCTATAAACGTTTGAACATGCGAAATATTGGATCTAAGAAATATATGTGCAAATTATTTTGTTATTTTACACCTAGATGTAAATATTTGGAACAATTAGATCTTACAGGAAGCTACTTTGATGTTAATGATTTCGTAAACTTTCTTAATAATTGTGGCAGTTGTGTAACGCATTTAAGATTAAGTCAATGCAGTACGCCCTCAAGACAGAATTTAAATCCTGTGCTACAGGAAATTGCAAAGACATGCAAAAATTTGAAAGGTATATGCATATAGTATATGTATATAATTATCAAGATTATGGGTAAATTGCATAACAACTAATGCAAATTTTTTTTAGAATTGGATCTAAGTTTTGCTGAATTAATAGACGACAAAGGATTTTCGTATCTCGAGGGGCTAAATAAGTTGGAACATATAAACTTCTGTTGCTTAAATATAACAACAGAAAGTTGTTGCAAAATACTGCGAAATAATCAACGGTTACGTGAGATTAGACTTCAAGGAGACCTTATAATTGATTTCATTATAATTGAGTTGGCAAATTCGTGTCCCGACTTGGAAGTAATAGAGTTGGGACAATCGTCTAGTAACGAGGCAGAACTGGAGGGATGGGATCTTACGTTACAGGGTGTTTATGCTCTCGAGAACTGTAAGAATTTACAAAAAGTGACCCTTGATATGTAAGTGTGTGTGCTACATTTTCTTTTAAAATACACATTATTGTATTCTTTATTGAAATTTGTTTGCTTCTCTTGCGAGCATCTTGAAAAAGTTACATGAATTTTTTCTTCGCAATTAAAATACTGTACTAATTATATGATTTTTGTTACAGTTGCGGTTATGAGGATATGTCAGATGACCTATTTAGATCACTTTCGTCTTATCAACACTTGCAAGAAATTTATTTGAGCGGTTATTTTGTCCTCACTGATCATAAGTTGGAATTACTAGCGCAGTGCAAAAACTTAAAAAAGTTATTTTTTGAATGTACGAAAATAGATATACCTAATAATTATTCTTTTATATTGGAACTATTTCCTAAACTACAGGAGTTTTATCTCATACATTGTTTTATAAATAATCAATTTATAAATCAATGGATAGAGAGATATCCGCATGTGAAAACATTATACGAAGGCTCGGATAATAGCACAGTGTTAGATGACGTTTTAATGAGGTCTAGAGACGTCTAGAGACGACTAGAGACCTCATTAAAACGTAATTTAACGTCACTGTGCTACTGCAGCTCTGATAATTGATAGATAGATTGTAAAAGAAGTTAATGCCTAAATAAAAACAAAAGTCGTATTTATTTATAATTTTGTTATTTTCGAATACTTCTTTCTGTTTCTTTTTTTTTTCATAATTTGACTTTTTGGGCAATGATCTCATTTTTTTAGAAATATTGCAAAAGCTACATTAATAACATCGTCAGTAAATTCTTGGTTTTTCTTCCGCAACCGCATGTCTCTTTCAAGAATTCGTTTAAAATTTGATCTCCTGTGTGCACGATTATTATGCAGATAATCTAAAATATTATTGTCAATTGGTAACATTATTGGTAGTAATATAGCAGACGTAAAAATCATGGAGCACCTCGGAGTATTTTTGAAGTGTGCTGAAGTGATATATGAAGTGCTTATTTTATGCAAATATCTTTTTATTTGGAAATGGCACGCAAGAATTCTCAGCGTGTCATTTCTCGCTTCTGACGTCACCATTAATCTTACGTGATAGCGGAAAGAGCCCAAGAGCCTTAATATAGTTTGCCTTAATATTTCGCTAAACAACTATATTTTAAGGAAGCAAAAATGACCATCTGCCAAAAGAGTCAAATTACAAAAAAGAAAAAAGAAGATAAAACTGTTCGAAAATAAATTATAAATAAATGTGGATGTCTCGTTTTTATTAGGCATTAACTTCTTTTACAATCTAGTTCGCTAGATAATTTTTAAAAAGTAAATTGCTACATATATAATATATGTATATATATATATCCCAAAAGAGTTAACAAAACTATTAAAATTATCATTCAAGTGTATAGATGGACACATGCGGATATCTTTCCTTCCATTCGTTAACCAAACAATCATCAATGTTACAGGATAAGAGATGAAACTCTTGCAGTTTTGAACATTGTTCCAAAATAGTAAAACACTTATCAGGTGTAACAAGTTTCACCCAATAAAGTTTTAACTGTTTTAAGTTTTTGCACTGCGTTAATAATTGAAAGAATCCTGTGATATTTTTTTTATAGCCACAGTTTTTAAATAACTTTCTGTGAAGTTTGTGTTGTAAATTTTTATATTTTGTTGAAACTAAACAACTCATCAAAGCTATCCCAGTAAGCAAGAAACATTTCAACTACATTGCAGCAACGCGTTAAATGTTAATTGATGTTACTTGCTTACTGGGATACATAATACTGGTCGACATATCAGATGCGGATTGGATTTCTCGAATAGTTTCCTGATTTTTAGCCGCTGAAATTCAAATCTGTCAGTGAAATTTTTCTGTTACATTTGGTTTTGACCTCAAAAAATTGAGGTCAATGTGCAAAAAAAAGGGGCACGTATAAAAAATACTTTATTATTATTATATTTCTTTATATTAT